TTTACAAACATTTATCACAAGAGAAAATCTTTTATAAATTAATTTAAAACTTCGTTCAATAAGTTTTATACATGATATTCTTCGTCGATCACGATCATTCTCCAATGTTGAAAAATGGAAAGCATCTGAAGTACGATTATTTATTTTATATATTGGCTTGCCTGTACTTGTTGAATTTTTACCTGAAGAAAGAATTGAAGATTTTGCTTTATACAATGTTATTCTTCGTCTTTTACATGACTATTGGGATAATGATAAAAAATTAGGCGATTCAATATCTAGTTTATTGAAAATTTACATTAAAAACTCATCAAAAAATGTTATTTCCAATGTGCATCGACCCAAACTACTTACAATATCAACTCATACTCATCTCCATCTTCCTTTTTAATGTAAAAAATTCGGTCGATTAAACTTGGTAACAAACTTTGTTTTCGAAAGTTTTCTTGGCCATTTGAAAGCATTTGTGAAAGGTTCTTCTGAAGCAGGAAATCAATTGACTTTTTCTAATACGATATTTTTTTCTCGTCTTCATTATCTTAATACCACTTATCACTCTTTTCTTTATTCTCGAAAAGGTTCAACCTGTAGTCATTTATTATAGTTTCTTATGAGAAAAATGATGTCCTTGCGTATGGTTATATTCTCTTCTTTCTTTCAACGAATGGAAATTATTCAGCTGTTATCCAAAAATTAACTCGTGTTAATTATTCTTTAACTTCTTGTTTTTCATCGTATAGATATGCACCTGCTATTAAAGGTTTTATAGATAACGTGTACATTGCTGTTAAGCGTATTGAACCGTCGCTCTTAAAATCTCATCATATTGATATTTGTCCTATAATTTCTATTCGTTCTCGCTGTTTTTTGTTCCTTTTCGTGATGAATTTATGATTCCCACAAGCTACTCATACGCCTATGAACATAATTAAATAAAAGCACACAATAAAAAAGTTTAAGTGATTTTTAGTTGAGCCAATGATTAAAAAAAAGTATAAAAAAACAA